GGCTGTTATTTGAATTATTTGGGTGTGAGGTACTGTTGAGAATTGGGTTGTACAAGATGGGGTTTATACGATTTATGTTTTCTTCGGTTATGTTTGTGTTGATTTTGCGTGGTAGTTGTTTTTTTCGAAGTTGTTGCAGGTTTTTGAAAATAAGACATCCGCGATAATTTGATGGGTGATTTCCATTACATAACGCATACTTGGCAGGGAGCTCTCGACTTTTGGTACATGTGTCAGTTCTGTGGTTTTCACCGCAACGGACACATCTTGGATGGTTGTTGCTGTAAGTTCTGGTGTGACCGTAGTTTTGGCAATTTAGCATTGTAGTGCTAGTTTGTTGATTCGAGGTACTTCGATTTTGACTTTGGTTTGACATAGAGTTTTGAGCTTGAATATGTGTTTATTGTTTAGTGCTGGTTCTAGATATACAAAAAATAGGGGTAGATGTATTTTTGAGACTTTATGAAGAACGTTTGTGACATTTCTCGTTTGAAATCCTTCTTTTTCAAGTTCTTCTTTTATGTAATCGGGATCAGTAATAGTATATAAAATTCTGATAACAATCCGGTACGGTTTGTTTTCTTTTAATTTATGAGTGAAAAATTTTACTTGTGATTCTTTTAGATATCTAATTATATTTGTATATGCATATGACGAGGTAGTGTTAAGTTTAAGGGACTCGGTAAAGCTTTTGCAAGTAAAATCGTCGGTCGGTTCGATTATATTTTTTATTTTTTCGCCAAAAACTTGATAACTTTGGATTTTTGTTTTAATAAATATTGGTTGAAGTAATTTGGATACGATTTCATTTATTTCGTTATTTTCCATATCCGTGTCTTCGTTTTGTGATAGGACACTAAATTTATTACAGGAGGAAAATTGCGTGCTCGTCGTAGTTTTGGCTGTTTTTGATAACGGACTTTGTTTTTCGGAGTTTAAACGTTTTTAAGATTTAGGAGAAACGACCTCAATCCAGTCATAATTGAAAACATCATTATTATCGGAGTAGGATGGCTGACTATTGTGTGTATTTTTTCTTTGCACTTTGTTTTGATCGATAATTTTAATTGGGGAGATGGTTTTAGTTATTTTAGTATTCATTTTAATTAAGTGTTCTTACGTAAGTGAAAGATACGCGGTTGGGAAGACAGTTTTATTTACGTATACGGGTTTGAGTAATTAAAATGCTTACAAAAAGTCGTGTCTTGGGTTTTTTTTGGCCCCAGACGGACAGTGATTTACTTTTGTTAAAGAACACTTAAAAATTATTGTTTTTTTGACACTTTTCACAACAAAAACGGTTAAGTATTTAGTTTGATTTTTAATAAAATAGTAATTAACGATTAATTTAGATGCACACAATACGAGTGCGGGACATCGAAATTTGTGACATTTAATATTATTTTTTTACTTCTTTCATTATTAATATTTATCAACATCGTCATTATTATATTATTAATGTTATTAGTATAACTATAGTAACAATTATTTTTATTATTATAATTATTATAACAGCCATCAAAGCACAACAAAAAATGGTTGCTATTTCAATGAGATAAAATAGCTTGTTACCTGAGTTATGAAGGGTGGTTCAAACGAAAGTAAAAAGAATAAATCTTCAGATTATAATCTTCAAAAAAACGTTTGATTTTTTTGTTTCATTGAAAAATTGTTGTTAATTATTTCTTTTTGTCTTTATACATTTTTATTGTTGGGAACGATCAATGCTTATACTTATCTGCCATTCTTCTTTCATACAATAATTAGCTAAATAATTATCAAATGTAAATTTTATAAGATTTGTCATTAAAATATAAAATATAAATAATTCCACATTTTTTTCTCTCTAAATTAATTTGTTTAACTTTTTTTATCATATTTTAACTGTGAAATATACCAACACAGATTAAAAATATCTATTTAAATTTAATACATCATAAAAATTACAAAAACGTTTACCTAATCATCGTTATAGTACCTACCACCCAATATATGTATATCATTCATAATGTACATATCATGTTATACCACGATGAACGTGACATTTTTTGTTTTATGATCTAATTACCTACTGTATTAATTCTAGAACAATAAATTAGGTACATGAACAGTTACTTTAATTAATTTTACAATGTTATGTTTTATTATAATAGTATACTGAAGAATTAACATTTTTATACAAAAATATTTGTAAAATTTATTACATGAATATCATAAGTATATTATAAATTTAATTCAAAAATATGATTAGTGGTAAAAATAGATTTTTATTATATTAATTTACTAATAGATAGCAAATAGTTTGAAAATATTTATCTTCGGAACAGAATTTTTCTTTAATTATTATTTGTATTATGAGGAAAGTTACAAATTAACGTCTGCTTGTTGGAATGACGAAATTAACTGAATAATATTTGTAGATATTTATTGAATTGGCAAAAGCTTAAATACAGACGATAACATTTGGATTAACCATACAAGTTTTTTATAATGTGTACTATCAAATGGTAAGTTAAATATTCACTTGTACAAAATATTTTAGGAAAGCACCACAAATATACAAATACAAAAATACGACCAGGAACAACTAATGTATGGTTTATTTGTCGATGGTTAATATCTATAAATAACGATAAAATATGCATTGTTTATAATCTATTAAAATGCGGACAGAATTGAGGATGTTCATTCAACGTTCCAGTAATTTGTATGATTCGGCATGCGTGATTACTATTGGTCGAGGTGAATAATAAATAATATTATTTGGATGATTAAAATAATTGATTTTCGACGTTTAGTAAGTGAATTAACTCAAGACATGTCTAACTATAGTAAATATGAAACTGGGATCCAATCACCAGTGCATGTTATTTTATGAATATAATTAAACTATAAGCCAATAAAAAATATTTCGGAAGACATGTTACGGAACAAGATCACAGAAAAGCCGGTTTTTTGTTTGTTCAAAACGAATATTTGTTTTAATACTGAATATAATGAATAAAATATACCCACAATTTAATTCACTATTCGTATTTAATGGATAAATTTAACACTATATACCATATTTGTGATTCATCGTTTATTATGTGAAAAACTAAACTCAAGTTTTCATAAAGTTTGTTACTTTGATATTTAAACTCTACTCTAGTTTAATGAACAGGCCTAGCTTTGCCTTTGATATTTTATCTAAAATATGCACATAATTTCTTATTCTGTTTTAGTAAAATTATTAAATGTTTTAATAATTGATAAAATAAAACGTTATTAAAACTTTTTCTGATTGCACTGTAAATACAATTTAATTAGTAATTACTAACATTCGATATTAAAATCCAATTATATAAAATATCACACCATACTGTAATAATTTCTACATTATTCTTCTTCTTCTTCTCCTTCGTCTTTCTTCCAAATATTTGAGGTCGGCCACCGAAGTCCTAAACCTCCACTTGTCTGGATTTTCTACATTCCCTACAGTATAATATATTTTTATATATAAGAAATAAGAAAAAACGAACTTTATTTTTTTCTATTAGGATTATTTATGAAATTTAATCTATTATCACATTCGATTAATAGAAATAAAATTACATGGAACAAAGTGATTTTAAAAATAAAATAATAGGTGGTAAAATAGATAATTAATTTATGTATCTTATGATTAGACATTAAGTAAAAAAAGATATGACATTCACAGGCCTGAAAAACATCTATTGTATACAATTAAAACACAAAAAAGTATATTTTTATTTCAATATAAAATATTTTTATGAACAAAAATTACAAAAGTACAGTTGTATTTTAAAATTTAAAAAACTTTGAATATTGTAGTAAATAAAGTTTATTTTTTTACATTTTACATGGTTGAAAAAATTATTTTAGTTATTATTATAACGTACTCGTATTATGCAATTCATATATAAAGTTAATAAGAGTATTAAAAATTATAAATTAAAAAAATCTCAATAAGGAAAAAACTTAACACCTTTTTAAACACTATATTGAAGAATCTATTAAATTTAATGAAAAAAAAAAAAAAAACTAATGAAAAATAAATTTTATGTTTACATTTTATTAAATTTTAACTTAGTACTGCACTATTATAATTCAAATGTATTATTGAATTTTAATTTTATAATTATAAATACAGATTATTAATAAAAAAAAAAAAATACATTCAACCATAGAATGATTTTGAAAAATATGGTCAGAATACATATATATAACTTATATTATTAACTTATTATATATAGATTAAATTGAACAATCATATGTAGCTTTCTCCGGTACAACAAATCAGTATTGTAAAATAATCATTGAATATATGGCCAATAACCAGGAAAAAAAACGGTTTGTTCATTATTTAAGATCTAGACACTTTAATATATTATAATTAATTTTTAACATTTTAAGAACCGTTTTCAATTTAAACATTCAATTGTTTATTAATAGAATACACGAAATTTTGAGACTTGGACATCATATGACACATATGACCGAAATAACAAACTATGTTAAAATTCGTTTATGTGTGTATATTTATATCGCATAAATTATACATTATATGTGTACATAAGTTTTGATCAATAAATTAAATATTATTATTTATTTTCTTATAAAATATGAGCAATTAAATAGTTATTAAATAGTTATTTTTTAGTATAATTTATTTTATAAACACATCAAAAATATATTGCTGGTTTGTATATTATTTAAATTGAGAATATAATTATTAAATACATTATTTAACTGTTATTTTTAGGTGCTGTTAGTGTCAATAAAATTCGTTTTATATTTTTATAATTCATCTGTTGGAAAACAATTTATTTTTTTAATTTATATAGTTGCAAATTACCCCAACGAGAGATAATCGAAAAAGGACTCTGAACAACTGAAAATCTTGGTACATTGTTGGTCTTTGTAATAACGGCAAGTTTTCATCAAATATGAGTTCCTCAATTCAAAATAATTGTAAAATTATTCCAATGTATCGAGATATGCGAATGAAAAACTGTCCATCGGTTGATGACAGTTCAGTACCTACTCCGATGATCGAAAAACCAAAAGTTATAGATAAACCAACGGACAAACATACTCCAGTTATTAAAACACCAAAAAGTTTAGATAAACCTGTGGAAAAAACGCCTCCAGAGATCAAAACACCAAAAACTGTAGATAAACCTATGGAAAAAACGCCTCCAGTGATCAAAACACCAAAAACTGTAGATAAACCTGTAGAAAAACCGTCCCCAGTGATCAAAACACCAAAAACTATAGATGAACCCATGAAAAAAACGCCTCCAGTGATTAAAACACCAAAAACTGTAGATAAACCTGTGGAAAAAACGCCTCCAGTGATCGAAACACCAAAAACTGTAGATAAACCTGTGGAAATACAGCCTCCAATGATTGAAAATCCAGAAAAACCAAAATATCAAGAAAAATCTGTCAACCAAGTACTTGTTGTCAAACCTAAATTGTCTGAAAAACAAGTATCGAATGAGATGATAATGGTGGAGTCACCTATTCGGAAAAAAAATTGTTTATGGATCACACCAATACCAGTGTCTGCCTACAAAGACTATTTTGATTCAATACCCAAGCAACTGTTTTTATAAATAAATACATTTTTTTTTAAATACGATAGTAAAATAATTGACTACTTTATGTTGATTCGTAGTGTAACCCACAGCGAAAATGTCACCGATTACAATTTGCAATTCCGTTGAAAAACTGCATTTTGATGCCAGGTTTTTGACTTTCGCTCCCCATTCACTTCAGTTTCGTCTGGTCTCTTTATAGCATTGTATAACGAGTGTCTTGACGCGATTTCACTGGTTTTTAGTAGTTATTTAACAAACCTAATAGTGTATCATAGGACCGAGTGTCTGATTTTACTGGAACGCATATATGCATATGTTACGGCTAGTGTCCGAAGGTTGGCTAATATTAAGATTAGCCGGCTAATCTTAAGTTTAGACAATGCTTTTGACTTATATCAAAATTTAGGACTTTAACTAACAAAAACAAATGGATAATCTTAATATTAGCCAATAAAACCTATATTATCCAATCTTTATCAGTTAATGACTAAATAACATTAGCCATAGGTAAATTAAAAATTTAAAACTATTTACAATAATAATACAATATTTTGAAATTGTAATTTTTAATGAATATTGATATTTTGGTTAGTTGTATACACGTAGTAAGTAAAATATTTTTAATAATATAAATATTGTACACAGTTATGTGCATTTTTATATTATTTTAAAATATGATATTGATTGCAAATTAATATGCATGCGGTTGCATACAATATTGTGTGCTCGATAGTCATAGTCCGTAATAATCTACCGTAATTACCAATTCAAGTTTGTAAGTAGTTAAAATGCCAGCTTGTAGTACTTTGTAGGTATATCTTTTTATCACGTCTGGGAGTTAATAAGTTAAAAGTTAAGTAAAAGTTAAGTTAAATTAACTTATTAACTCAAATTATTTCATTACTAATAAATTATCTTATTAACTCAACTTATTTCCTTACAAATTAACTTGAAATTATTTTTTCTTTTATCCCAATCATGTTAATTTTGATTTTCAAGACCAGAAAAATATTTTTGTAAAATATCGCATTTGATAAGTTGATGGAATTTAAAAAAATATAAAAATAAAAATTTCGAAGAATTTTTAGATTAGACCATATATATCGGTATTAATTATTGATAGGGGTCCCACCGTTCTCGGGAAAAGTATTCAACCGTCTTCAGACTTTCGAGTAAAAATAGTCATGCCATCCATGAATTATATTAACATTGTCATGAAAAGTGGCTGTAAATTTATAATATGCTCCTATTTTTATTATATTATAATAAAAATAGGAACATATTATCATTGACTAAATAATTCTTAATAAAAATTCTACTGTATTATTATTGAAATTATTCCATAATATATGGTATTAGTAATATTATTGAATGAGAAGAAATAAAATAATTTTTGTATGATTTTAACCGTTGAATTATTTGTATGGATAATGTTATTTAGACATTAACCATATGCATCTGGATAATGTTAAATATTGGTGAATAAAGTCCGAAATTTAGATATTAGCCAAACGCAATGGCTAAACTTAAGTTTAGCCATACTCTTAACACTAACCGTAATACATATATGCTTATAAGCTGAATAAAAGTTTATAATTTTCATCACTTATTGAAAATAGTAGTACAGCTTTCTTCTGGACTCGTTAGTTGTTCCGTTTGCAACAAAATAATTTGCAAGTCTAGATTTGAATATTGTTATGTCGTTCCCAGATTGAAATGTTCTCGGTGAACTTATTATACTGTGGAATTAATTGATACTTGTTTTGTCATCAGACATTTTAAATGTATTTTAATTTAATACAAGATTGATTTAGAAATTATCTTCGTCATCAGTTTGTTGAATAATAGTATCAATATGAATAAAACACTCAAACACAAGAGTTTACTATTATTCAAGACGTGTTTATCCCTTAACTAGTGACGTATTTTTTTGTAACATTAATAGTGATGTGCGGTATGTCATACCGCACCACATTTAACTCTGATTGTAGTTTAAGTTTATGTCAAAAATAAAACAAATTTTTACACTTAAGATTCTATAACTTATATACCAGCTTATCTCACTAAAAAAAAAAAAACAGGATAGGTAAAGAATATACGTTTTTAGGTTTAATTTTATAAGAATATTTTTAATATAATTCCATACTTTTTCTTTAATATTAAACTGGCTATAAAAAAATTGATATTACATGAATTAATGAAAACATTTTACAGAACTCACCAATGAAAAAGTAGCTTTTCCAATATATAATTATTTATAAAAAAAATTAATATTTAATAAAAAAGAACAATAACTAAATTTTCCTTTTTTTGTTTGTAAAATAAATAAAAAGGTTTATCATCATCACTTTCAATATCACTAAAAGTCTGATCTTATAGACTTAAAATATTTTCTTGAGATAAATTATCAGTCACACATAACTTTTTGGAAGGACCTGGTGTGCAATCCATTTTTAAAATGTTTTACAAAATGTGTAGGTACCAAAAAAAAATTACGTAAATAGTGACGTGCGGTATCACATACCGCTTATCAACTTTAAAATATACTGACAGTTAACTCAGCTGATTTTAACACATGTTATCAGTAGTTATCGATTTATATAGTTTAAACTTAAAGGAATATACTACAACCGATGTTTTGTTCCAACTGATAAGAACAAAATTGATAAAATAAAAATCCAAGCGGTATGAGATACCGCACGTCACTAGTTAAGGGTTATTATAAAACCCACATAAGTAAACTGAATGTCGTGCGAGACTCAAATGTCGCGTATGGCAGGACAATCCCTTACCATATATATACATATACGTAACACTTTACATTTGTGTTAATTATAAAATCTATCAGTCATGCGGTTGAAAGATATTAATTTTAAATATATTTATTCATTAATTTAAATAGTAAAAGTATTTTCGATGTAACTGTGGATAAATATTACTTATGAGTTGTTTTTTTAATTTGATATTATATTTAACAACTTTTCAGTAACATAACTTATAGATACGCTCGAATTAGTTATATTATGAAAATTATAAATTCATTTTCTTCACGAAAAATGTTAGGTGTATCCAAATAGGTAAAGTAATCAATGTTAAATTCCAAATAAAATGGAAGTATGTAATGTAGTATCTACACAAATAAGAGTAATATGTACCTAATTAAATCCCACATTAAATTTAAATTTTAAATTTGTATAAAAACACATGATATATTGAGCATTTTTGTTCTTAATATTATTTTCCATTCCACTTATACAAATATAAACAACATTTATTAAATCAGTTACATTTTCTTTAAATCAAATAACATAATATAATACTCAATTTTATGAAAATTATATTCATAGACAACCGTTTTATATGAAAACCTTTTAGGAGTAGACTATTTATAAATATTGTTTAGCCTAATCGACATTCAAGTAAATATATAGTCATATAAATAAATGATTATGAATACACTGTAGTTTATATTCTATCCAAATAATTTAATAATAATTGTTTCAATTATTTTATTAATTTAACATTATACACGATTCGTCACTCGCCTGCATAATAATCACGTGGTCGATTATTAGAGTAGCTTTTTTATAATTCAATAGGTATGATGAATTAAAATTAAAATAAATCTTTGCAATATTTGTAATTAAGCAAAATACGTATATTTTCTAATCTCAACATGCTCAGTTTACATGAAAAAAATAAAAATCTGCGTTGTCTAAATTTGGGAAAATAAGTAGTAGTTTATACAAAAAACTAAAATCTAAATCCACTTGAATAATACGCATATGAATAAATACATACAAAATGTTATGTTGTAGTTCTACTACCTACTGCAGCTAATTGTGATGTTACATACGGTCCCAACAGTCTTTCCGGTGGGTTTAAACGTGTCCATTTTGTGTCACCTCTTAACTGTGTTTCTGACAGAATATATTGAATGCGGTGGACGTTGAATTAAGTATGTAGAATCTAACTAATGTCTGCAAGCGTCTTTTTTTTCCACACCAAAAATTTTAAATGGGCTATACAGTTAAATAAAATTAGAAACATTTTTCCGGTTCCTACCTTTTATTTTTATTATGGCTTAAAATAAAAAATAAAAAACCGTTAAGAATGTTACACATATTTATAGAAAATAATGAATGTCTGCATATATCAGTAATAAAAATAAAAAAGCTTAATTTTTTTCGACCTAACGAACAAGATTGTATGACTATTTAAAAATATTGGTTTTGATTTGTTTTTATTTCTTGTTTTATGTACTTTGAAAACCAAACATTCATAAGTACAACATTTAATTATTATTCTTTCCATGAAAAAATTTAACAAATATACTTGGTTTTCATAAGTTATAGTTGCAATATAAATTAAAAAAACATTATTTCTGAGACGAAATGTATATTATTTGAAATCATGTTTTTTTTTTTTTTTTTGTTTTACGTTAAGTTTTGAATAACTTTAATAAAGGGGTGAGAGACAAGTTTCAGTGTATTACAGTGTTGGTCTTATTTAGCATATTCTAAGTCATGTTAAATCAGTGTTAAGCCAGTGTAAAGTTTTAATCACTCATTTTAAGCGTTGAATTAAATTTAAACTTTTATAAAATGTATTTTCCATTTTGCAGAGATACTTCAATTTAATATCTATTAAAATTTGATGTACATCGAACCCTATATCAAAAACTGATAAACCACGAATATTGTGTGTTGATGATAATTTTAACATACCCATATAATCTAAATATATGAGAATAAACAGTATGGCAAGATCATAACAATAAAAAAATAAAAATAAAGAACAATGGTGGTATATTAAAAACACGTATAAAATAATTATTTACTATATATAACCATGTATACAACCACTCCGTATAGTCCTTACTTACTAGGATTTAAATAATGAATGATACTTTTTTTGTTATTCTATTTTAAAAATATTATGAATCAATAAAAACATTCAAAACGTAACATAAAACCAATGATAACAACTCTATAATGTATTTAAACCAAGGTTAT